GGCGCAACATTTTTCAAGCTATACAACGAGCCCACCGCAGGCACCGATCTTGTTGCAAAACCCATGTAGGTGGGTCGCGGGTTAAGACGCAGGTGGGTCGCAAATGGGTCGACGGTGGGTCTCGGGTGGGTCGCGGGCCGGGTCGCGGGTGGGTCGCGGGTGGGTCGCGGGTGGGTCGCGGCTGGGTCGCGGCTGGGTCGCGAGAGGGTCGCGGGGTGGGTCGCGGGTGGGTCGCGGTTGGGTCGCGGGGTAGGTCGCGGGTGGGTCGCGAGGTGGGTCGCGGGTGAGTCGCGGGCCGGGTCGCGGGGGGGACGACGACAACAACAACAACAAGCACAATCTTCACCACGGATCCGCACTTCAGCCACGCACCCAGGGACAATGAATGACCGTTCGGCTCCCCCACTCTGATTATTCTTCTTCTTTTTGTTCCTCCTTCTCCTCCTTCTTCTTTTCCTCCTCCTCCTCCTCCTCCTCCTCCTCCTCCTCTTCCTTTTCCTCCTCCTCCTCCTCCTCCTCATCATCATCATCCTCCCCCGCCTCCTCCTCCTCCTCCTCCTCCTCCTCCTCCTCCTCCTCCTCCTCCTCCTCCTCCTCCTCCTCGTCCTCCTCCTCCTATCCTTATTCCTTATTAGAATATACTCCTACTCCCCCCTCAGGCCGGCAGATAGGGGCCCATCCGGGTGGTCCCATCCTAACCTGTAAAAAACAATACAAAATCAACATGTTTCTTATTTTTTCCTCTCGACATGGACGTCCTGTCGTCCACGGCGATAATCCATTGCAAAAAATACCACAAAGAGCACACGCGCGCGTTCATGTCAGAATCCTACCGAACACCGTGTGTTTGCAAGCATTTCAACATAAAAACATCAAAAACCCAATGTTTTTTCACAAAAATTCTACAAATTTCCTGCCCGGGCTCTCTTGCTGAAATCATAGGAAAACCATAGGAATCTTAAGAATTCGGTCAAATCCAGCGATTTCACGTCATCGCGCGGTGCACTCGCGATGCTCTGTCATGCACCCAGGCCGCGAATCCTGTGCAAAAAATACCACGCAGGCGACATGCGCGCGCGTCGCCGCGAGCGCCTGCATAAATCCTACTACTACTACTACTACTACTACTACTACTACTACTACTACTACTACTACTACTACTACTACTACTACTACTACTACTACTACTACTACTACTACTACTACTACTACTACTACTACTACTACTACTACTACTACTACTACTACTACTACTACTACTACTAACTAACTAACTAACTAACTAACTAACTAACTAACTAACTAACTAACTAACTAACTAACTAACTAACTAACTAACTAACGAACTAACTAACGAACTAACTACTACTACTACTACTACTACTACTACTACTACTACTACTACTACTACTACTACTACTACTACTACTACTACTACTACTACTACTACTACTACTACTACTACTACTACTACTACTACTACTACTACTACTACTACTACTACTACTACTACTACTACTACTACTACTACTACTACTACTACTACTACTACTACTACTACTACTAATACTACTAGTACTAGTACTAGTAGTACTGCAAGTACTTGTCATAGCACTACTTTTTCTGTTACTACTACTACTACTACTACCACTACCACTACCAACACCACTACCACTGGTACTACTACTCCTGCCTCTTGGGGCCTCCTGGGCCCCCTTGGGGTGTCCTGTCAGACCGTCGGGCTTCCTCCGGCCACCTCTGGCTTCCTGCGGTGTACCGGGCCATTCTCGACTCGTCTGGCAATGCGTGCGCGGCATTCAACACGCGCTCGCCAGTTCCCGTCGGCAACCGCCATCGCGGCCGCATCAGCTGTACCAAACCGGCTGGCCGGTGTGACTTCGGCCCCCAGTTGTGCCAGCTTTGCTTCTTATGTGGGGATGCCATGCTTGACTCGCTCGAGCTGGCTAGCTTGACTCCTACTCCTACTCCTACTCCTACTCCTCCTCCTCTTTAACCTCCTCCTCCTGCTCTTTATCCTCTGTATCCTCTTTATCCTCTTTATCCTGTTCCTCCTCCTCCTCCTCCTCGTCCTCCTCCTCCTCCTCCAGGGGGAGCGGGGGGTGCAGGAAGAAGCGGGCCAGGAGGAAGTGGGCGAGGGCCATTTCAGACACCATGAAAAGACAATTCCTCGCGTGACCGCCTCCGGGCATCAGCTCGCAGCCGGCCATCGGGCCCCCACCAATAAGGCACATGAGAGATCAGTCCACTACTCAGTGTTCCTCGAACTGCGGCGATGCGTCGGCTAAGTAGCATCGCGGGTAAGACAGCCACGGCGGGAGCGGGGGCCTAGCGTGTCGTAGGCGGGCGCGCCGCGAGTGCTGCTCTGCTGCGATCGCCGCGAAAACGCCCGTACAAATGGGAGCGTGCCGTCGCCACAAGAATAGAGAGGTCGGCGCGAGCCAACTGTCGCTGCTGCTGAGTGCCCAGTGAGTGCGTCTGTTTGGTAGGCGGGCAGCGCCGAGGAAGATGCGCGGGAAAGAACAGCTGGTCGCCAGAGGAATCTGCAGCCGGTCTAGCGGAGCAAAACTGGTTAGAATTGGGGGGGGGGGGGGGGGCGACGCACCGATGCGCCGCCGTTCGGCTGGTCCCATCTTGAAGTGCAAGCCCCATGCGGTCGTGGGTGGCCAAGGGGGGAGGCCCCCGATTCACCAGAGGTAGTCGGCTACGCGGGCTGGTAGACCTGCGCGAAAAGCGGCCGCAGCGCCCGCGGCGGCGTCGCCTCCGGCTGGCTGGCGACACCGCTGCTTGGCAGCTGGTGCGATGGCGTCGGGTTGGGACCAGTGCGGGCGGTCTTGGAGCAGTCGATGGCCTGCTTCGCAGCGCAGTCCGCGTAATCGCGCCCGAAGCATGCCGCGACCTCGTCGGCGCGGATCGCCTCCGCGTCGGCCATCGGCGGTGGGCACCTCGCGCCATTGGTGTCGCTGCCATTTGCCTGGGCGCTGCCGTTCGTGATCACGACGCGAGTTGGCGATGGCTCTCGCAAATTAATGTCGGCGGCGGTCGCCTGCCACGCGTGTTTCTCCTCGGCCAGGCGCCGGGCGCGCAGGCCGGTGGCCCGCGTCGGTGGCGAGGAAAAGACCCCTGCAAAGGGCGTCGGCGATGCTGTGTGAGTCGCGGCCCCGTGGGATTGGCCCTCTCGGCGCTGGGCCCGACGTCGCATTCCCTGCGGCGCTGTCTTTCTGCGCCGCGGCGCTCGGTTCTCCTGGCGCGAGGCGATTGCCTGCGACGCCCCCCTCATCTTGCGGCCCCCCGCCCGTCGTCTCCGCCGCGAGTCGTCGGCTACCCGGCGGTCTTGTTCGGCGGGGGGGCACCCTGGTCCTCGAGCAGCTCGTTGATCTCCTTGAAGACCCGGCCGGCGACTTCATCCTGAAAGGTCTAGATCGCGAAGGGCAGTTGGCGCCAATTGTCGAGCGGCACGCCGGCTGGGGGGTCGAGCCGCCCCAGTGCCCGCGCCCGCGCGCGCCCGGCACATTCGCGGTAATTCGGCGGGTAGAACGGCGGCAGCGGGCCGCTTGGCGGCGGGCGGTCCGTTCGAGCTGTGGGTAGGGGTCGGGTTTGGCAGTCAAGCGCCTGGTTGCGGTTTTGGGGTTCGCGGGCGCAGTCGGCGGCGGCCGCGACTGTTCTCTTCGAGCTGGCTGCGCGTTGGGCACGCGGGGGATGATGTCCTTGGCGAGAGTCCGCGGAGTGAACCTGATAACGCACGTGATGCCTCGCAGTCGTCGTTGAGGCCGTTGTAGAACGAGCTACGCACCTTGGTGGATGCCTTCCTCGCGGACGCCGCTGCTGATGCCGGACGTAATGTTGTGGATGTCCTTCACTGTGATGCTCGCGCAGACGAAGACGATGACTTTCTTCGGCTCCTTCCAGGCGGCTGGTTCTGGAGGTTGCGGTTGGGTAAGTGTGATGGCATCGTGCGGTGGAAGCATGTTGGGCGTGGCACGCTGCGCCTCAACGCCTTCTGCGAATGCCGCCTGCTGGCGCGCGCCATCTCGCGCTGGCGATCTGCAGCCACTGAGGCTCGACATTGGACGGCGGTCCCATTTGAAATTCGCATCGTAGCTCGATGTCGTTGGCGCGATTGGTGGGGGACCTGTGCTGTGCCTGGTCATGAGGGCGTATCGCCCGCGCCCCTTTTGTAGTCGACGTGCTCGCGAGGTAGAGGGAGAGCAGTACTGCTTCGCTGAGTTCCTGCAAGAAGCCGTCGACGTTAGTCGCACGTAGCAGGTAAGAGGCGCGGTCGTAGGTTCTCGAATGGATCGCCTTCGTTCTGCTTCTTGTAGGTCTGCACGCTTGTATACCTCGGCGATGCTTGTATACCTGGACAGTGAAGATATTGCGGGTTTGCTCGAGGTTGTTCATCTCGTTGCCGTTAAGTCCCGTCTTCTGTGGGACGCGGCAGATGAAGTCTTTGTCGGCCAGCCCCATGGCCCGCGCCCATGGTACGGCGGCGATTAAAGCCCTCCTCTCCGTGGTATGTACGGATCCGCCCTCATGTGCGTTGATCCAAGCCGCGGCGCGGCAATGGGCAGTGACCCGTCACGGCCCTGATGCCGGAGGTATCGCGGTTCCTGTTGGGACATATGTGTGTCTTCAAGTCGTTGTAGGTCAGACCAGAGTACGTAAACGTGTGATGGTGGTGGCAGAACGTCTTCATCAACCGCTGTGGCGTCTGAGTGGGCACGACGACTGGTCCAACTTCCAGTGCTGCGTAGGTGCTCTCCCTCGTAAGGGCGGCTGGCTCGACGCCGTACTGGGACTTGTTGGGCGTTCGTGCCGCATGTTGGGGAGAATGAAGGTCTAATCACTTGTCCGTTGGAGAAGCGATATCGGGGAAAGGGAAAACAAACTCCTTCTCGGATGCGTTGTCCATGTAAGCCTCTTGCTTGGTCATGCTGCTGGAACTCGGGCGCCGCGTTTGGTGCAATGTCTGGCCGCCCGTGTTACACGAGCTGGAATACTCGCTTTGCGTTCTGTGCCGGGAAATATTCGGTGCCCTCGGTGATCCTGAAGTCCGCGCACTTGGAGAAAGTGATATTGGAGACCACGTTGGAGGTTCTGCCATAGATAGTAGCATCAAATTGGTTTATGCCGTCTCTTAGTGGCCTACCCCGCTGTAGGTCTACAGGCGGCTCCGCGGCTTGGTCAAACTGGGCGGCGCACGCGCTGGGTAGCTGTAGGGTCGATGGCCAAATCCTTGGACCAGATGTATGCGATGCACGGGTTGTGGGAGGTTGTTGAGAACGGAAGGTTGTTGAGATGTGAAAAGGTTTTGTTCTACCAAGTCGTTTCCTGTCGGTGCCATGGTCAGCTGGAGGGGCAGGCATATCTCAAGTCAGGCGTACGAGAACCCCTGATTGACGTAGCTCAACTTGTGGCTGAAGTAGCGCCTGTCAGGGGGCATGCCCCGAGTGATCCGCACAGATGCCCGCCAGTCCCACTCCGCCACTCCATGGTTTGTCGAGAAGTAAGTCGTAACACAGCGGAGTGTCGAAGTCGCCCTCCCCCTCACCCTCCTCCTCCTCCTCCTCCTCCTCCTCCTCCTCCTCCTCCTCCTCCTCCTCCTCCTCCCCCTCTTCCTCCTCCTCCTCCTCCTCCTCCTCCTCCTCCTCCTCCTCCTCCTCCTCCCATCTCGCCTCACTTCTCCACCCCGCTCTCGGCCCCGCTGGCACATGCGCCCTCAGCCCAAACCCAAGCACGCCCACAGTCTCACCCTCTTGACAGGCTCCGCCCTGGCAATTTGCTCGAGCGGGTCCGGCCGCGGCGACCGCAGGCGACACGTGCCCCCAACCACCACCAACCCACCAAAACACAACATCAACGCGGGGAGCCCCATGAGTACGCGCACAGTGCCGTTCCCCCGGTCGACCCCAGAAGCCCGAGCGAGATGCCGCGCTCATACCTAACAAATAACAAACAAAAGGCGTTCGCGCGCAGTCCCGCATCCTACGGCTTGGCCAGGAGGACGAAAAGTGGCCGCGCACGGGCGGGAGCGGAACTTCAAAGAATCCTTGCGCGGCGTTGCGGCGAGGGCACCATTTAGCCCTCTCACGGGCTGCCAAGGTTCTGGTGCGTGCGGCGGAGACGAAGCATGCGCCGCGCCGAAAAAGCACGACCACTTTCACGCACACACACACACACACACACACACACACACACACACACACACACCGCAGCGCATGGGCGAGGACAGCATTTCGCCATCTCCGCTGCCGCAGCCGGCGAGCGAGACCCACGCAGCGACGCCACTTCCAGGCAAAATCTACACGAAGCTTGGGGGAGGGCATTTAGTTGACAGCCCACCCGCGGCTGGGACGGGATCGCCACTTCGATCAGGAAGAATAAGCGCAGCGACCGAGGCGAGACCGTCATTTTGCCTCGTAGTGTTAGCAAATAAGATGGCAGGTTTGGGATTGAGGTACTGACGTCCGGCTAAGTGGCAAAGTAGGGTTGTATATATAGCTCACACCCCCCCCCAAGATCCCTATTTTCCGTGTTCTGTTCTGCTTTCCTCTCTTCGTCCTCCTCCTCTTTCTCATCCTCCTCCTTTCCCCCCCCCATCCTCTCCCCTCATACTTTCTCCTCCTTTTGCTCTATTCATATCTCTCTGGTCTTCCTCCTCCTCCTCCTCGTTCTCATCCCTGTCCTATCCTTCTGTTTCTGTACTTCCTGGATTAATCCAGGGCTCGGCGGTTTAATCCACCTCTCCTTCCTCCCTCCTCCCTTCCCTCCTCCTAGAGAGGGGAAGCACACTCGGTGCCCTTCCGCCAATCCGTTTCGGCGTCCAGGGACCGTTTTCGGGCCCCAGAACCATCAAAAACGACCCAGAGCGAAAAACCATCCCAAGGAAAAGGGTGTGGACCTCTGGGGCCGCGGATTTCCTCATGGCTCCAGGCGATTCCCCTTTTCCTACTCCTCCTCCGCCTTCAACTTCTCCCCCCCCCTCCTCCTACTCGCCCCACCCTGTCCGTAGCCATCATCGGCTCAAGTTGCCCCCGCGCGGGCTGATCCGAAGATTTGTGTCGAAGTCTTACAGCAGGTATGAACACCTCGATTGCGGTATCTGGTCGTGTTGTGTTGACCCGTGATGGTAAACGGGCGCGCCTGGATTTGAGCGTTGGCAATCCGTCAGAACCCTCGGGCTCGGCAGCTGCTGACATCATCCGCCTCTTGGAGCCGGCTGCCCCTTCGGGGCCGCCCGTTGCCCCCGTGCCGATCGCGGACCGCGTCCGCCCGCGCGCTGTGGATGTTATTGGTGACGTGAACGCAGGGCGCTTGACCGTGCACCCGTCGAAGACCGACCTCTTACTGAAGGAGGTGAACAACCAGATGAATTACATACAGGCGTCTTGCGGAATGCAGCGCCGCCAGGAAGGCCAATGGAGTGAAGCAGCCCAGAACAAGCTCGTCGCCTGGCTCAACAAGCGCAGGCACGCGCTGCGGGGGCGACATGGCGAGTTTACAGGTTGCAATGGCCGACCAAAGTGATGGAGCAATCGGGTTCAAACCGTTTTTGGTTTCGCAGTTCGTTTCCTTTTGTCCTGGGCAACGTTTTCTCTGGCATAGTTGCGCTCCGTGCTTTGGCCAGCCGTTGCGAGGTGCCTTGCTACCGCAAATTCAACATTCCTGGCCGCCGCCTCGCTCAGCGGCCCTCGCTCCAGTGGATGCCGCGCGCTGACAAGACGACCGCGCTGTCGATGGAGCCGTCCAATTCTTTCCAGGGTGGAAAGGAAATGCGGGAGACCAAGACATCGCGCCCCACTCTTTGTCTGCTTTCCTGGATTGCTTGCTGCGCCCCAAGTGGGGCGCGCTCGCGCAGTTTTCGAAAAAACTCGGGAAGGTTGCGTTTTAACAATTTTCCGCCGCGGGGTGTCTCGTCGGGCGGAAGTCTTGGTTCTCCGTTGGGAAGGTTTTCGCCGAGGTTGACATCGACAACTGCTTTGTGGCCCTCTTGGTGAGAGAGCTCTCGCAGGATTGCAACATTGATGAAGACTTGCCCACCCTCGCGGCGTTTGCTGCGAACTACAAGAAGTGGCGCGCGTTCCTCGCGGCTTACATGCACGTGACAGCGAAAGAGGCGAAGAAGCTTCTCATCAAAATCGTGCATTTGGGGAAGCCGGCGTGCGATCTCCCGTTTCTGTGGAACCTCGCCGTCGACATGCACAAAGCTGTGGATATGCTTCTGTCGCGCGAGAAATTCAGGTACTTGGACGGTCGTTTCGAGAACCGCCGCTGCCCCGCCGCATCAAAGCTTCACTACGCCTTGAGCTCTGTGGAGGATTCCATCTTGTCTAACTTAGAGACGGAGGTGACCTCTGTGGACGGCGTGACCGTCAACACTTACATGTTTGATGGCGCTGTGTTCTTGATGCCCGAAGATGCCATGGACGACCTCCGCGCGGCGGTGAAAACCGTCGCTGACAAGTGGGGCTTGTCGATGTCTGTGGTGACGATCGATGGTGACGATGCGTAAGTAGGTCGGCTGTGAGCGATGCACGGGCCAACGGCAAATTCGGATAACTGTCTCTTTGGACTTACGTGTAAATAGTGGAAGGCGTTAGCGGCTGGAGGCCGCGCAACATTATATGAGCCCGTTCGTGTTCATGCTGCTGACTATGCTATGTAGATGTCCAAGAGGTGCCATGCAGATTCCACGAGGGGTGTTTTTCAGCCATTCGATATGGTTCGTCCTTGTTGCACGTTGGGGGTTCCGACCCAGCCTGCAGCTGCTTTGTTCGTTCTCGAACTCGCCGAAGCGATTGACAAAACAAAAAAAAAAAAAAAAAAAAAAAAAACTTCCCTCCTCTCCTCCACGCTCCCCTGCTCTGCCGCTGTTCCTCCTCCTTCTCCTCCCCCTCCTCCCTCCCTTGTGTTCCTCCTCTTCCGCTGGCGGAACTTTTTTTTTGTTTTCCTCCTCCCGCTTTCGGAGGCAGAGTTTTTTTCCCTTTTTTCCATGTGAAAACACATGTTTTTCCTTATGTTTCCCTTTGTTTCCTCTTTTTCGGTCTTTCCCCTGGGACGGCGGAGAAATTCGGAGGACCGAACGAGGCAGGGAAAAGAGGAAAAAAAGGAAAAATAAGGAAAAACCTGTGTTTTCACAGGGAAAAAAAGGAAAACAACTCTGCCCCCGAGGGCGGGAGGAGGAAAAAAAGGAAAAAACTTTCCGCCCGCGGAAGAGGAGGAAAGGGAGATGGACGGAGGAGGAGGAGGAGGACGACGACGACGACGACGGGGAGGAGGAGGAGGAGGACGACGACGAGGAGGAACAGGGAGAGACGGATTGTTCCTCTTTTTCCTCCTCCGGCCTTGGGGCGCGGAGATGTTTTCCTCTTTTTCCCTGTGAAAACACAGGTATTTTCATATTTTCCTCTTTTCCCTGCCTCGTTCGGGCCCTCCAGATTTTTCCGCCGCCCCAGGGGAAAGACCGAAAAAGAGGAAAAAAATGAAAAATAGGGAAAAACCTGTGTTTTCACAGGGAAAAAGAGGAAAAAAACATTGCCTCCGAGGGCGGGAGGAAGAAAAAAAGGAAAAAAACGTTCCGCCTGCGGAAGAGGAGGAAAACGAGGGAAGGAGGAGGAAGCTGAAAGGAGAAGGGAGGAGGAGGAGGAGGGAGAGGAGGAGGAAGCAACATGGGGATCTTGGGGGGGGGTGCGACCATATATATATATATATATATATATATATATATATATATATATATATCATCAAGCTAGCCAGGTCGAACGAGTCAGCGGGCGCCGCCCATTCCCCCTAGCCCTCCCAGAACACAATAATCAATGATGGCGCAACTTGGCACGAGTGCTGGAGCGCAACCCTACTTAGCGAACGGACGGCAGTCGCACGCGGCACCACTTCCGACGGCCTGGCTAGGAACAAAAGCGTGGCCGCGCACGGGCGGGAGCGGAACTTCAGAAAATCCTTGCGCGGCGCTGAGGCGAGGGCACCGTTTAGCCCCCTCTCAGGCGGCCAAGCTCCCGACGAGTGCCGCGAAGACGAAGCGTGCGCCGCGCCGAAACAACACTGCCACTTTCGCGCGTACAAGCGGCGCGGCGCATGGTCACGAACAGCATTTCGCCCGCTCTCGTGCGGCCCACTCTGCCGTTGCCGCTTTGATGCGGCTCGGCGAGCGAAACATGCGCCGCGCCCGCGCGGGAACGCCGCTTCCAGGCGAAATCTGCACGGAGCTTGGGCGAGGGGCGACAAGTTACCTGCCCCCCAAGATGGCCCCAAAGGGCCCCTCCAGTGTTCCCCTGGTGGCTCCCGCACAGCTGGGGGAACACGCAGCATAGAAACATTGCTTGATTCCCTACCTAGGCTCTCCCTAGAGGGTTCTTACATTGTTTGCTTAAAAAGGGGCCGGGCAGTGTAGGCCGCCCCGGGCGGTTCCCCCAGTCCCCGCCCCGCGGTTCCCCCAGTTGCGCCCCCTGGGTTCACCCAGCTTAGCTAAGCTAAGCTAAGCTTAGCCTAGCTTAGCTTATTTCATCTTAGCTTAGCTTAGCTTAGTTTAGCTTAGTTTTGCCTAGCCTAGCTTAGCTTAACTTAGCTTAACTTAATATCATCTTAGTTTAGCTTAACTTAGCTTAGCTTAGCTTAGCTTGACTTGGCTTGGCTTAGCTTAGCTTAGCTTAGCCTAGCCTAGCTTAGCTTAGCTTAGCTTAGCATGGCTTAGCTTACCTTACCTTAGCTTAGCGCAGCGCAGCAAAGCGCAGCATTAGCACAGCATAGCATAGTATAGCATAGCCAAGCATAGCATAGCATAGCATAGCATAGCTCAGCATAGCATAGCATAGCATAGCATAGCCAAGCATAGCCAAGCATAGCATAGCATAGCTCAGCATAGCATATTGTTGCTTCCCTAGAGGCTCCAACTCCTAGGTAGGGTCGCACTTAGATAATTGAGGACTGGCATGCCATCACGCAGGCGTCACCAACAGCAGGATCAGGGGTCTCCGATAACATTGTAACACAAAGGCCATAGCAAGGGGGGGCGCGCTTGGTACCTCGGGCCGCTGAAGGCTGTTCGGGGCGATACTGGCGATCCAGGAGAGCTCTCGGCAAGACGCAGCCGATGGACAAGCAAGCGGGGCATGGCTCCCTCCGAAAATCTTCGCAGACATTCGGAAGCGCTCCAGTGGGACAGGTAAGCCGTTCGAGAGCGCCGACTCCGTGGTGGGCTCGCCGAGTCTGGGAGAGCACGGAGAGGGCGTGGCGGCGCCGAGGCAGAGATCTGCGCATCCTCCCGCCCCCCCCCTCCCATCCCTGGCCTGGTCGCGTCGGGCGCGCTCCCCTGCGTCAGGTTGCGGAGGGCATGCAAGCCGGAGGCCTCGGCCCCATGAAAATAGAGAAAGAGGATGAGAAATATAAGGAAAAGGCAGAGGAATAGGGCAACAGCAGCAAGCGGCAGAAGGAGAACAGAAATCTGGTTTGGCCCACCACACGAGTCCATAAAATTGGGCATTCAGCCGTGGCCGCTGCTGCCAAAGCTGCAGATGCCTCTCGCCTGCACCAGTCTTCACCACTGGCTGCAGATTCTGAGGAGGAGAAGGGAGGGAGGGGGGATGAGTAGCCCCAGTTGTCGCCCCTCATTGCTGCCAGCATCCCAACACCGGTTGCGCTCGTAGTCGCGCGGCCGACAACATTGTCTCTGATCCCATGCACCAGCGCTCACAAACACGACACGTTCGGCTGATCGCTCACACTTCCGTCAAACGCACTGCTGTGCAAGCGGAAATAATCCATTCGACTCATGTCGTTTCATGCCGTACACTACCCTGCCCTCCTCCCCGCTTTACATCCCATCCCAGTCGGATTCCGGAGCCACGTCCAGCCAAGGCGACAGAGGCGCTCCCCCAAGGAGAAGGAAGTCCTTCTCATGATCGCCGCGACAAGTAGACAAGTGGAAAGCCAACTGCGAGCGGAAAGCCGACTGCCAGCCCAGGCCTGCAACCGCTCGTGGTATATGTGCTGACCCAGCGCCTCCAGTACCGCCTCGACGCCGCCGAGCGCCACAACGACAGCCCTCGAGGGCGGCCAATGCATACGTAAAGAACATGGTGTTTGTTTGCGTGCGCTTTTTTTTTTCTTTCGGGCCTGATGGCGCTAAAGATGTCTCAAGATTGCCAAGCGTGGCCCAAGATTGCTTACATGATCTCCCCAGAGGGACTCAAGGTGACCCCAGGACAGCTCTTAGGCAACCCCGGGAGGCCAAACACCATTGAAACATGTTTTGTCTCAACGATTTGATACTCCCACCCTTTAGTCCCAAAACTGCTCACGATGGCCCCCAGAGAAGCCCGACAGAGCCGCAACAGGAACCCAAGATGGCTGGCGCAAGAAAGGCCGAGACCCACTAGGGCTTCAAACAACCTAAGAGGGCCCCGAGACGGATCCATGAGGGCGGCGCGAAGGCCCTGAGATACCCGAATTGTTCGGCCACGCACGCGTCGATGCTATCCCACGAAAGCTAACTTGGCCCAGGTACCCCCCTCAAGGAAAATACGCATGCTCGGTTACCCCTGGAGGTCCACCATTACTGCCACTTTGGCCAGAGACACAAGAGTCGTCCCCCCCACCTCCATACCGACCACGACAGCACAGGTGGAGGGGAGTATCGGGTAGACGCGTCAAGGATAATGGTGGAAAAGGAAGCATCGTCAGCAGAAGCTGTTATATTCCGAACGGCCAAAGCCGCACGATCGATTCTGCAATGCGGAACGAGGAGAGCATACAAGCGAGGAAGATAGCTACCACACTCGCCAGAAACAGAGGTACATCAGTATCGATACTGTGTAGGTGTCTGTCACTGTGCGGCCAATGCATCGCAATGTCCATGTCGACTCACTGAATGCGCGTTTACTCTCAGTGTTCGGGGGCCCCTCTGGACGGTCCGAAGCTTCATGCCCAAACCACCGAACATATAACGCTCCAGCAGAAAGAAAGCAGTGGAACGCGTATTGGCTAGATTGCCAGGGGGGGCAAAGAATGCACCACTTGTCGGCCTTGCGAACAAGAAAGCCGTCATCAAACTTACATCGCCGAGAATTAAGCCAAGGACTTCATCTGTCCTCACGCACTGACAGGAACACAGCCATTCTGCAGTAATGCAGTCTATTGCACCACCACCAATAGTCGCTGACAGTGGAAGACACTAACTCCATTATCACTGCCTTCTCCCATTGCCGGCGGTACCAACTGCAACCTAGTTAGCACGGCTACACGTGCAACCTATATACATATATATGTGTGTACTAGAACCATCGCGCGCGCTTCGCGAGCGCTCAAATTCTAGCTAGGGTCATGATCATCGTCATCAATGTCATCCTCATCCCCGTCATCTTAATCGTCATCGTCATGGTCATGGTCATCTTCACCATCACCATCACAACAATCATCAGTATCACCAGTATCATCAGCATCGTGATCACCATCGCCACCATCGTCATCGTACTTCTCAGCATCATCACCCGCATCATCAACATCATATTGGTCGTCGTCGGCATAGTCATCGTCATCATCATCAGCGTCATCGCCGTCATCATCCCCAGTCCACTGCAGTCCCATTACCCTCCTCTCCCCGTTCTCCCTCTTCCCATCATCTTATACTCATCCTTTTCCTCGTCGGCGTATCCCTGAAAGGGATCCCTGTTCCTTCACCTCCTCCTCCTCTTCCTTATCCTCCTTCTCCTCCTCCTCCCTGTCTTCCCCGCTCTTCGGTGTGTCCTTCCTTGTGCTCCCTCACCTACTTCACCTCCTTCCTCCTCTCGAGCCCTCTTCATCCTGCGCTCCCCTTCCCTCCTAGTCCTCAGCATCCCTCCCCGAGCCAGAGAATCAGAGAACAAGACAATCTTACAAGAACAATGTCCCTCCTCCTCTTCCCCCTCCTCTTCCGCTTCTTCGTCCTCCTGATCTTCCTCCCCCTCCTCCTCCTCCTCCTCCTCCTCCTCCTCCTCCTCCTCCTCCTCCTCCTCCTCCTCCTCTCCTCCTCCTGCTCTTCCTGTAAGAATCCACTGGTGGCCCCTCGGGCTTCCTGGGGGCTCTCTTGGGCCGTCTTGTAGCTCTTCTGTGCCGCTTGAAGCTCTCTTCAGCCCATCTTGGAACCCTCTTTGGGGCCTCTATTGAAGCTTCCGGAGGGGCCTCTTGGGAGCCTCACGGGGCTTCTTGGGAGCCTCTTGAAGGCCTCTGGGGGCGTCCTAGGAGCCTCTCAGGCCGGAGACCTTGAAATGTCGCGCTCTTCGGGCCCTCTTGGGTCGCTCTTGGGCCTCTCTTGGGGCGCTCTCGAGGCCCTCTTGAACTATCTGGGGAGTCTCCTGGGCCGTCTTTGGGCATTCTTGAGAGCCTCTTCGGCCGTCTTGGAGCGATCCGAAGGGCCTCTGATGCCGTCCGGGACCATGGGGAAGCGGAACATGCGAGAGCGCAAATATGCTTCAAAAACTATCGGAAAATGTATGATTTCCGGCTTCTGGGGCCCTTTGTAGGGGCCTCTAGAGGCGCTCTTGGGGCGTTTTGGCGGCGTCGTCGGCCGTCCTGAGGCCATCTTCGGCGTGTCTGGGGCCTCTTGGGGCTGTCTTGGCAATCTTAAGGGCTCTCTTGGCGTGTCGTGGCGTGTTTGGGAGCGGGCCCCGGCAGTCTCAGGAGCCCTGGGACTCCCCCAATACCCCCATGTGGGGGTACGGCACCGGCCCGGGCCCCCCCCCTGGCCTATTCCGAGAGATAGATAATTATATCGGAGGTGAGGGGGTGAGATCGAAGTGGAACGGAGAGCCCCCCTACCGGGAAATCGATTTCGGTTTCGTGTTCGTGCGTGCCGTGCGTGCGGGCGAGGCGAAGCTGCGTGGGCGGGCGAGAGAAAGTCTCCTGTGGCTGAGGCGCGGCCGGACCAAATGACTGCTTTCCGGGCGGCCGGTGGCCCGCGGTGTCCCGCCGGTGTCCCGCGAACGTCCCGTGTGGCTGACGCGCGGCCAGACCAAATGACTCCCTTCCGGGCGGCCGGTGGCCCGCGGTGTCCCGCCGGTGTCCCGCGAAAGTCCCGCGGTGAACCCGCGGTGCCCCGCGGTGTCCCGCCGGTGTCCCGCGGTGTCCCGCGATGATGATGATGATGATGATGATGATGATGATGACGATGATGATGATGATGATGATGATGATGATGATGGTGGTGGTGATGATGATGATGATGAGATGAGATGATGATGATGATAATGATAATGATGATGATGATAGTGATGCTGATGATGATGCTGCTGCTGATGATGATGACGTCGATGATGATGATGATGATGGTGATGCTGCTGATGATGATGATGAGGACGATGATGATGATGATAATGATGATGATGGTGTCCCGATGGTGATGATGATGATGTCGATGATGATGATGATGATGATGACGATGATGATGATGCTGATGGTGTCCCGATGATGAGGATGATGATGATCATGATGATTATGTTGATGATCATGATGATGACGATGATGGCGTCCCGATGGTGATGAGTATGATGATGTTGATATTGATGATGCTGATTATGATTGTGTCCCGATGATGATGATGTTGATGATGATGAGGTTGATGATGATTATGGCGTCCCGATGATGATGATTATTATGATGGTGATTGTGATGATGTTGATGATGATGGCGTCCCGATGGTGATGATGATGATGATGATGATGCTGATGTTGTTAATGATGATGATGGTGCCCCGATGATGACGACGATGATGATGATGCTGATGATGATGTTGATGATGCTGATGATGATGATGTCGATGATGAGGATGAGATGATGATGATGGTGTTCCGATGATGATGATGATGCTAACGATGGTGATCATGATGGTGTCCCGATGATGATGCTGCTGATGATGATGATGATGACGATGACTGTGTCCCGATGCTGCTGATGATGATGATGATGTTGATGATGATGATTGTGATAATGGTGATGATGATGGTGGTGGTGTCCCAATGATGTTGATGACCGTGATGATGATGATGTTGGTGTTGATGATGAGGACAGTGTCCCGATTATGATGATGTTGGTGATGATGATGTTGATATTGATGTTGATGTTGTTGATGATGATGATGATGACGTTGATTGTGAGAGCGGTTGTGATATCGATAGTGAAATCGATAGTGAGACCGAATGTGATATCGATTGTGAAATCGATTGTGAGATCGATTGTGAGATCGATAGTCAAATCAATTGTGAGATAGATCGAGTGAGATCGATTGTGAGATCTATCGAGGGAGACCGATCGAGCGAGACCGATACTGAGATCGATAGTGAGATCGATAGTGAGACCGATCGAGTGAGACGTTGGTTCCTCACCCCCCGAACCTCCTTATCACCCGAAGGGTGGTCGTATAGGTGTATATATATATATAGAGAGAGAGAGAGAGAGAGAGAGAAAAAAAAAAAAAAAAAAAAAAAAAAACGAGAAAGAGAAAGAGAGAGAGAGAGAGATTCTAGGCGAAAGACCCAACCATGTGCAGTTGTGAATACCGGAGTTGTGATTCTTTCCTTCGGTGGAGCTCCCTAGCAGCATGCGAACGCAGCCGATGGGACCTTCCCTATGGGGCCACGAAACGAGCGAGGGGTGTGCCGATTTGGCGGTGGAACCGAATGCGAACGCAGCCACTGGGGCCTTCAGTGGAGCACCCTGTGGGGCCACGAAACGTGTGAGGGGTGTGCCGAAATAGGTGCGGAACCGCATGCGAACGCAGCCACTGGGGTCTTCGGTGGAGCTCCCTATGGGGCCACGAAGCGTGCGAGGGGTATGCTGAAATGGGGGTGAAACCGCATGCGAACGCAGCCACTGGGGCCTTCGGCGGAGGTCCCTGTGGGGCCACGAAACGTGTGAGGGGTGTGCCGAAATGGCGGTGGAAACGCATGCGAACGGTAGCCACTGGGGCCTTCGGTGGAGCTCCCTATGGGGCGGAACCGCATGCGAACGCAGCCACTGGGGCCTTCGGCGGAGCTCCCGATGGGGCCACAAGACGTATGAGGGGTGTGCCGAAATGGGGGTTGGGAGGAGGGAGGAGTGGGAGGAGGGGGCGAAAGAGAAGGATAGGAGGAGAGGAGAACGCGGGGCGCTGTCTCTTCAAAACGAAGACCCAACACCACAGGATGGTTGGGAATACCTATAGGACAAGGCCCCGTCATCTGCAATATCTCTCTCCTCGCTTCTCTGCTAGACACTCAGTCTCCTGGTCCTGCCCCTGGTTCGTTCTGGCCTTTGTGAGCGGACGGTTTGCGCAAGCTTGCTGACATTAAAAACACTTCGAGTCTACATCTTCTTCGAACGTAAGGGGCTGGGCGCGCTAACGCAAGGCTAACTACTACATACCGAAGATGCAAGCGTCTGCTTGCAGGCATGCAGCAGCGGCCTGCTGCTCTCCGTGTCGTGCGCGAGGCTCGCCAAGGTAGTCAAAGCGCGTTCCTGAAATTGCCGCCGGTCCCCGCTGCCCCTACTGCTGCTTCAAGCGGGCGTCCCTGCCATTGGTTGCCAAAGTCCGCCCATTCCCCCCCTCATTCCACCATCTGTTACCCTTACCCGAAGCCTGTCATGCCGCTGCTGGAGCTGATAGCTTGGAATAGCGTTGGCTGTGCTGCGGCTCCTGCTTCTAAGACTGCTGAAGATGTTGCCCCCTATCCTCCTTCTCGTCCTCCTTCTGGTCCTCCTCCTCCTCCTCCTCCTCTTCCTCCTCCTCCTCGTGATCATCATCACCACCACCACCACCATCACCATCATCATCATTACCACCAGCATCAGCATCAGCATCAGCACAATCATCATCACCATCAACATCAACATCATCATCATCATCATCATCATCATCATCATCGTCATCGTCATCATCATCATCATCACCATCATCATCACCATCGTCATCATCATCATCACCACCACCACCATTATCATCATCATCGTTGCCATCATCTTCATCCTCATCATTATCATCATCACCCTCAGCATCGTCATCAGCATCATCAGCATCATCATCAGCTGCGTCGTCATCATCATTACCATCATCATCATCAGCAGCAACAGCAGCATCATAAGCATCAACTTCATCATCATCCTCATCATCAGCATCATCATCAGCAGCATCATCATCATCAGCATCATCATCGCCATCATCATCATCATCATCATCATCATCATCATCATCAGCATCATCATCATCATCACTATCATCATCAACAGCAGCAGCATCGTCATCATCATCATCACCAGAATCACCATCATCAGCATCAGCATCCTCAGCATCATCATTATCATCATCCTCATCACCATCATCCTCGTCATCAGCAGTATCATGATCATCATCATCATCATCAGCATCATCATCATCATCAGCATCATCATCATCATCATCATCATCATCGTCGTCGTCGGCGTCGTCGTCGCCATCATCAGCATCATCATCCTCATCATCCTCATCAGCATCGACAGTAGCATCAGCATCATCCCCATCAGCATCATCGTCATAATCATGATTGTCATCAGCAGCTCATCCTCATCATCAGCAGCAGCATCATCATCCTCATCAGCAGCATCAGCATCACCATCACCGTCGTCATCGTCAGAACCATCAACATCATCCACATCAGTATCACCGTCGCCATGAACATCATCCTCATCATCACGATCAGTAGCATCACCAGCATCGGCATCATCATCAGCATCATCATCAGCATCAGCATCGTTATCAGCATCATCATCAGCATCATCATCAACGTCGTCATCATCATCGTCAGCATCATCCTCATCAGCAGCATCATCACCATCATCACCATTAACAGCATCGTCATCGTCATCAGCAACACTGTCAGCATCATCATCCTCATCATCAACAGAATCATCATCATCATGTTCATCATCATCATCGTCAACCTCGTCAACCGTATCATCATCGTCGTCATCGGCATCGCCACCGTTATCGCCATCTTCATCGTCTTCTTCGGCATCAGCATCATCAGCAGCATGATCATCGTCATCGTCAGCATCATCCGCAGCAGCAGCACAGGCAGTAGCAGCAGCAACAGCATAAGCTTCATAAGCATCGCCATCGTCATCGTCATCGTCATCAGCATCAGCATCAGCATCATCATCATCGTCGTCATCATCATCATCATGAGCATCATCATCATCGCCCGTCGACCTCCTTCATCATTCAACCTCCCCCTCCCCCTCTGGCTCTTCCTGCTCCTCCGCCTCCTCCTCCTCTTCGCCCTCCTTCTGCGCCTCGTTATCCATTCTCCTCCTCCTCCTCCTCATCCTTATCCTCCTCATCCTCCTCATGCACCTCCTCCCTCCTCCCTCCCCCTCCTCATCCTCCTCATCATTCTCCTTCTCCCTCCGCCTGTACTCCCTCCGCCTGAGCCGCATCACCACCCCTCCCAGGTATAAAAGTATAAACAAATGAATAAGCAGATATACGTATATGCATGTACATGTATACAGATGAAGAAATAGAGAGAGAGAGAGACAAAAAAGAGAGAGAGAGAGAGAGAGAGATGTACACCGTTCACGGTACGCAACGCGGGGGTAATCTCGCCGCACGCGATCGCAGTCACCGAGGGACGCGCCATGCCACAGCCGAGGAGAAGGGCCTCCATCACTATGTGCGCCGCCAGGGCCGTCTTAGTGGGCCATTCCGATCCATGCTGCCCGTGCGATGGCAGAGGCCCCAGCACCCTACAGAAAGCGCCAAGCCGAGATTAGCCAATGAGAGGGCCCCCGGACCAGCCAGTACTCAGCGGAACACCGACGTCTCCAGCCCGTGCACTTGCAGACGAGACTGCCAGCAACCGCACCCATCGCGATGTGAGTCGAGAAGACCAGCTACGAACGCTTACAAGCGAGACTCTCGGCCTTGCGGAGAGCCTTCGGCCATTGATCGGAATGGATCCGATGAGAGCACCCGCATCGAAGGT